CTTTTTAAATCTCATTTATAAAAGTTTACTATTGTAAACTGATGGACTCACGTCGCTACGAGTGCGCGAACATGTGTCGAAAACTAACCTCTCAATGTCCGACATTTGATTTCTTCGTATTCAGCGCTGAACTCTTCGCCACCAGCCTTCGCCTCCATAAATTTGTCACATTTTTCTAGACTTCCAGCAACAATACCATATCCGTAGTAGGAGTTTGAGCTACATCCTTCCGGTATTAAACTTAAGGCGATTAAGTCAACGTATGCATCGTCTTTATCCTTGTGTCGCTGCTGACACAATATAATGGCTGTTAGTGAAAGAAAGGTCGTTAATTGCACCGTTGCAGATTTCATCTCTGAAATGTTTCTTTGAAGTGCGCATGCAATAAATCATTGGCGACGCGCACCAGGCGGGCTGGTGCGGCCATGTGTTTTTGCAGTATTTCGTGCTGTAGTAAGATCGCTTAGAATAGACAATTACAATAACTCGGCTCGTCTCATACATAAGCCGCAAAAAATTTTTTCTGCCGACGGCAGGTACCGCTGCCCCACGGCGGACGGCGGCAGTTTGAATGTGGGAAGTGGAAGTGGGGGTGGTATGTGGCGGGTTTCGTTCCAGACGGCGGGGTGGGGGAGGGAGGGATAGGTGGAAATAAAGACTAAATGGAATAGATCCCTTGCCGATTGACTAAGTAACGTACATTTGAGGAGAGAGAGGAGCAGCGAAAAACGAAAAGGATGAGGAAGTGTGCTCCTGGGACTTCCCTTTTTATGAAACTGATGCTTAGGTAAAGCTGTTCCACAAAAACCCGTCATTAGGCTTCCCTATTTCTAAAATGATGCTTAGGTAAAGCTGAGAGCGAATAAGTTCCGTGAATTGGGTAAAAACAGGGTAGAATGGATGCCTCGGAATGAAGTCAGCGTTTGCCCCTGTGAAATTTTGAAGACAAAATAACGAAAGTATAACTTTTGTGCACAGTTGCAGGCTGCAAAAGACAACATTGTGTAAATGTCTGCAATTCTTGTGTAATCTAACTGGACTCATTTGCCCTTAGTTTCACCTAAGCATAAGTTTCAGTAAATCCTGTCAACTTCATCCCTCCCCATTACCCTCTGAGCTATGTCTAGGCAACTACCAACACACACCTCCCCCCC